AAAAAAAAAAAATAGGTGGAAGAAGAAAGAGAGATATGGGGGAAAAAATGAAGAAACACTTTAATTATTCAATTCCATGAGAAAAGGTGAATATAAAAATAACGGTTATTCAAGAATGGAAAGAGAGAGGAAAGGGAACAGAGAACTTATTTAAGAGAAGTATTAAAGGAAAACTACCTAAACCTAAAAAAGAAACTAAATATTCAAACCCATGAAGCAAAAAAAGAAACAAAACAAAACAAAACACCAGGTTACCTATATCAGACTATAGCAGTAAAACTTCTAGATGTCCAAGACAAAGAAAGAATATTGAAGCTGGATAGAGTAGAAGAAGCAGATAACCTATAAAGGAACCTTGATCAGGTTTTCATTTGACTTTCTTGAATAAATACTCTGGTCAAGGAGAGAATGTAATGACATGATAAAAAATACTTAAAGATTAAAACTGCCTTTTTTTGTTCCAATCTCAAACTGTTTTAATTATTATGGCTTTGTAGTATAGCTTGAAGTTTGGAAGTGTGATACCTTCTTTCTCCTTTTTTTTCATCAGTAGGGCTTTGGCTATTTGTGGTTTTTTGTGGTTCCATATGAATTTCATCAGTATTTGTTCTATTTCTTTGAAGAATGTCATTGAGATTTTTATTGGAATAGCAGTGAATCTGTATATTGCTTTTGGGAGGATGGCCATTTTAATAATGTTGATTCTTCCAATCCATGAGCAGAGGGTGTCTTTCAATTTCTTTGTGTCTTCTTCTATTTCTTTTAACAGTGTTTTATAATTTTCTTTGTATAGGTCTTTCACCTCTTTTGTTAGGTTTATTCCCAAGCATTTGATTTTATTGTTTCAATTATAAAAGGGATTTTTTTTTATTTCTTCTTCTAAAGATTGATTGTGTATAGGAAGGCTACTGATTTTTGTGTTGATTTTGTATCCTGCTATTTTACTGAACTGGATGATTATTTTGAGTAGTTTTTCTGTGGAGTTTTTAGGGTTCTCGATGAATATTATCATAACGTCTGCAAATAGTGATAGGTTTACTTCTTTCCCTATCTGGATTCACCTATGGAACCAAATAGAAAGTCCAGAACTAAAACCACACTTATATGGACAACTGATCTTTGACAAAGAAGCAAAGAATATGCAATGAAACATGGACAGTTTGTTCAATAAATGGTGCTGGGAAAACTGGACCTCCACATGAAAAAAAACGAAACTAGACCACTACCGTTCACCATGTATAAAAATCAACTCAAAATGGATAAAAGAACTGGACATAAGACCTGAAACCATATAAACGTAAGACCTGAAACATAAGACCTGAAAATATATAGAAGAAAATATAGGGAAAACACTACAAGACATACATCTCAGAAACATCTTTAAAGACTCATCACCCAAAGCAGTGATAGTGAAGGCAAAGATAAACACCTGGGATTACAACAAACTGAAAAGCTTCTGCATAGCAAAAGAGACATTAACCAAAACAGAGAGATACCCCACTACTGATAAAAAATCTTTGCATTCTATTCAAATGATAAGGGACTGATCACAAAGATATAAAAAGAACTCACATGACTCAACAAAAACAAAATAAACAATCCAGTCAAGAAATGGGTAGAAGAACTTAAAAGATATTTCTCCAAAGAGGAAATGCAAATGGCCAACAGGCATATGAAAAAAATGTTCAAAATCCCTTATAAGCAGGGAAATGCAAATTAAAACCACACTGAGATACCACCTTACAGCAGTAAGAATGCCACATATCAAAAAAACAAGCAACAACAAATCTTGGTGAGGATGTGGTGAAAAAGGAACTCTCCTACATTGCTGGTGTGAGTACAAACTGGTCCAACCACTATGGAAAGCCATCTGGAGGTTCCTCACTCTACTAAAAATGGAGCTACCATATGACCTGGCAATTCCACTCCTAGGGATCTACCCATAGGACACAAAAACATTGATTCAAAAGAACACCTGTACACCTATGTTTACTGCAGCACTATTTACAATAGGTAAAACCTGGAAACAGCCCATATGCCCAAAAATAGATGATTGGATCAAGAAGATGTGATATATATACACAATGGAATGTTATTCAGCAATCAAAAAAGATAAACTCATGCCATTTGCAGCAAAGTTCCTAGAAGGAATTCCTAAAATGAATTCCTAGAAGGAATTCCTAGAAGGAATTATGCTCAGTGAAATAAGCCAGAAGGAAAAGAAAAATATCAGATGGTTTCACTTATAGCGGGAATATAGGGGAACCAAGTTAAGATATCATTGTAAAAAAATAGTAACAGTACAAAACACAACAAAGCAAAAACAGACAATTATAAACCAGAGACATCCTGCAGGGGAGGAGGAGGAAGAGGGATCAGAGGGAGGGAGGGAGAGAGGGAGGACCACAGGGGAATGTGGTGATGGTGCACAGGTGCATTGGTGAAGGAAACTCTATGGGGACTACACCTGAGGGGGTGGGGGAAGCAAATATTGCTTAAAAATGAACAATGATGCACAAAAAAAAAAAGTTAAAAAAATTAATAAAAGTAAGATTAAAACTGCCAGCTAAGAATACTCTTTATTACAAGATTCTCCTTCAGATATGAGTGAGAAACAAAGGCCTTCTCAGCCAAACAGAAGTTGAAGGAGTTTGTAAACACTAGCTTCTCTGCCAATAAAATTAAATATCTATATCAAAGAGAAGAATATCAGCAAATAGCTGAACAAGGAAATAAAGAGAAACATTCTTTGCACCAAATGGGAGTATCAAACCTTTATACCCGAAATAATCACATGAAATATAAATAGACTAAGCTCTCCATTCTAAAGGCACAGAACAGTTGTTGGCTGAATCAGAAAGCAGATTCCAACTTGTCCAAGAAACACACCTGAGTTCCAAATATAAACATAGGATTGTTTGTACAATCCTATAAACAAATGGAACCCAAAGTAAGACAGGGACAGTCATACTCATATTACATAAAATAGATGTTCAGCTAAAAAAAAGTAACCAGAGAAAGGTATGGACAATATATAATGATTAGGGGAGCAATAAACTGAGATGATAGAACACTCACCAATATATACTCATGTATAAAGGGATATCAAAATATATAAGGCCTTTATTATTGAATCTGAAAGCAGACACTTGGGGAAAAATTACCACATATTCACCATTGGACAGAGAAAGCAGATAGAAAATAAATTAGGACAAAACAGGCTTCAAGAAAGAATTAGACCACCTGGGCTTAAAAGACATTTATAGGGTACTGCAACCCCCAAAATCTGAATACACAGTCTTCTCAAGTGCACATAGGACATTCTCTAGGATTGACCAAATATTGAATAACAAAGTAAGTATCAATAAACTAATGAAGATGGAAATCATACCAAGCAACTTCCTGACCACAAGGAATCAAAACTAGAAATCAGCCGCAAAAATAAAGCAGAAAAACCTCTAACATGTGGAAACTGAACAACACACTAGTAAATGACTATTGAGCTAATGTGGGAAGCAAAGGAGAAATCAAAAAAATACCTTGAGTGAAATGAAAATGAGGACACAACCTACCAGAAACCATGGGACATAGCAAAAGCAGTAATAAGAGGGAAATTTGTAAGTATACAAGTCCATATTAAGAAACAAAAAAGAACTGAAACAAATAATCTTATCTCTTATTTAGGAGAACTAGTAAAGGATACGCAAACAAAAATAAAAGGCAGTATAGCAAAGGAAATAATAAAAATAGGATAGAAATTAATGAAATGGCAATAAAAGACAGTCCAAAAGATGAACAAAACAGACAAACCTCTAGCTAGTCTCATAAAGAAAAAGAGAAAATTCAAATAAATAGAATCAGAAATGAAAGAGAAGTTACAACAGATGTCTACAAAATATAGATAATCATAAGAGATTAGTATGGACATGTATATGCTAGTAAATTGAATAACCTAAAAGAGTTGGGCTGATTCTTAGAAATCTACAACCATCCGAGACAAACCTGGGAAGACCAATTACATACAAAGGGCAATCTGAAACAGTAATCAAAACTCTCCCAAAAAGTGAAACCATTTGATATTTTTTTCCTTCTGACTTACTTCACTTATGGGTCAGGAATAAGACAAAACTTGCAAGCTGACCATAATTTGAGGCAAACAGCAAGGGAGAAGGGTCAGAAGAGGGGAGGAAAGTGCACAAGGGACTGTGGTGATGGTTCAGGGGTGCTGTGGTGGTGGGAGAACTACAGGGACTACACCCAAGGGGAGTACAATGATGTGAGAAAATAGACAAAAGAAAACAATGCTCCAAAAAAAACCAAAAGAATATGGTAGGGCAAATAAAGATATTCAAGTTCAAAATACAAAAACCTCCCACAAAGAAGAAATTGGAACATATCTGTTGCAGCATTCAACTCATGGCCTGTCAGTTTCCAGTATCTTTACTAGCTTGGTCTTTTTCTTAATCCTCTGGTAACATACCAAAAGGTATATTATTAATTTGCTCATGATTCATTTTAGGATTTTGAGAGTTTGTTTTCCTTTGCATTTTGCTTGTGGCAAACAACAACAACAACAACATGGTGATATACCATGAGTGTACTCTACATCAGGTTTATAAAGTCAAGAGTATTTTTTAAAATTATGTTTATTGAGTTCAAGTGGATTTTTAAAGACATAGTAGTTACAGCTATAATCTATAGGTTTGCTCAGTCCTACTACCATTGTAAGTTTTGCCATAGAGCCATGTTGAGTCTGCACTCTTTTATATTACACAATATGCCATCTTTAGATAAATGACAGTTAAAACCTTTGTGGAGCACTAGTCTTCACCTTACTTATTATCCCTTGTTATGTAATATGGGACTAATGTTAATATACGTCTGTGCTCTGATACTGCATGATTGAAAGATTAAAGGTGTCCAGAAACATTCTTGTTTCCAAATTTCACCTAGAGGTATCTTTATACCTCAACTTCTAAAATGAAAACCAGAGATAGTAACAAGTTCAGTATGTACTTTTATTTTAGATACCGGCACAACAAACACAGTGACATGACAAGACCATTACCTCAGTAACACTGATAACATTCCTAGACAAGTTTGCTTATAATTTACAAACACTGTTTTTATCTGCAGCTATTTTAAATATTATCTTTAGATACACTCTAAAACACAAATCTTAAATATATACCAGTTGCAAACATTATGAACTTAGTTACTATATTCCTTGTTACTCAAATGAAATGACTTAAAGTTCCTCAAAATCATGTCCATTTGTGTTCATTGATTCAGGATGCATGACTCGTCCCATGAATAGGATTGTACCTGCATTGGTTTGGAAGTGAACAAAAGAGGGTGAACAAAAGAAAGGGGTATTTATTTTCCTTCTTGCTTACAATTAGTGATGTTCTAAAAATCAAAAGAAATAATTTTTTTCATTAAAAAAATCATTCAAACATTATAAATTATCTGATAACTCTTGTGGGAAAACGTTCTCAATATTAAAAAAAGCTTACTTTTGGCTCATTAAGTAAAGTTCTGTTCAACCAACATACTTACCTGTTTTCCTGTTCCTGATAAGAAAGAAAAATGGATGGTCGACAATAACTTGAGGATACAGCACCGCCATCCTACTAATTGCAATCATTCCTACAGTGCAGAAAGAAAGTAATTATACGTCTGTGGAAGTGTTACAGGGCAACCCCAATGTGAAATAGGTTGGCCTGACTGTGGGCCCTCATCTGCATGCTTCAAAGGAACGTAGAATGAGACTTAATTGCAGACGCACACAAAAAGGCTAATAAAGGTTTCTTTACAAAAAGAGGAAAATGAAAAAAGGAATAACTCAAGTAGAAATAAGGAGAGATAAATTGGGGAATTCGTCCTACCAGTTCGGCTGAGCTGGGACCCCAACTGCATGCTGAAGTCCAGCGAAAAACCAACCCCAGGCCCAGGTGTCTGGTTATATACCAGGTCTGGCTGCTTAACTCCACCCTCATTTCCCAGCAGTCCTCCCTTCGGTGGTGATGACATTATGGGATTTGTAGGCCTTGGTGCCTTGGTATCTCTTTGGGCTGGAGCGGGGATGGGGTCCATAAAACCTGTCTGTAGAGTTTGTTCAGGACGTCCTTACCACCCAACAGAAGTATAAGGACTAATGAATAATTTCTCCAAACCATTTATGTCTAATGTAAAAAGCAAGGATTCAGGGCCTCCCCGGTGGCACAGCGGTTGAGCGCTGGGTTTCGAGGCTGCCCACAGCCTCTGAAGCACTGGTTCGATCCGCAGGCCCCAGGCGAGGGTCCCACATGGCGACCTCTCCTGCAACGCCTGCTGCTCCCCTCAGCAGTGTACGTCAGTCTGCCTGCTCTGCTCTCAGCTCTGGCTCTGGTGAATTCTCTCACCCTCCCACGCTTCTGACTGTACCCAGTGCTTGTATAAATAAATAAATAAATCTTAAAAAAAAAAAAAAGGCAAGGATTCACAGGAAACAAATTCTAATGACTGAAAAAGAAAAACTGCAAATATGCTAACATTTCTTCTTGATCTTTAAGCAAACACATATAGCACACAGTTGACACTCTATATCCCACCAAAAATAATAGGGCAATTTATTCTGCCTGTTACAAAAATTTTATTCTTACTATAGCTTTACTAAAATGACCTTTGATTGAAGAGAAGGAAGAAATAAAGAACAGACAAAACAGGAAAAAAAAAAAACCCTAAGAAAATTTCTTTATATTCTCAAATTATTATTTCTTTTGTCTGAAATAAGTATTTTTATATTACTAGTCACAGAATGGCAGTGATTAAAGAGAAAACACAACAGTGAGAAATGCAGTGGTGTTTCCTGTACTGAGAAACTAAATTCCCTGGGGATCCTTATTATGGAATAAGCATTTTAAAATTGCTGCAAGATGATTCTTTGTCATGAAGAGGTCAATATTAAGTTGCATAAGATTTAAAGCTTTCTTGATAGCCCCAGCCCACAATAGACTACTGTGTTTTTTTTTCTTTCTGAAAATACTGTTTTAATTGATAAATTCTTTTAATGGACACATTTATGCAGAAGTTAGAAATAATATGTGCAAATATGTTACATTTTACCCCAGAGTCCAGGGGATGAAGGGAATCTTACTCCTATTTGATAACAGATATTGATCATGATATTGAAATACATCTAAACAAACAAAAGGAGGGAATAAAGGCAACAGAAAAATAACTCTTACTGATCTAGGAAAGACAAAACTATCAAAATTATCAAGAGTATTTAGCATTTTGTTTTGGACATGTGATTTATGTCATTTTTTATTATTTAGCTAAAATTATTATCATCATTATTATTCCATTTAAATCACTGATTACATGTTATCATATATTCTTGTTCACATGGATAGTTTTAAAAAATCAAAATTTTCATTGAAAAAATTGAGAACTAACTTTCATAAGTAATTATGTTCCACAAGTAAGAATACTCAGATGTGTAGGTAGAAATATTTAAAATATTAAACAGGCAATACCACAGGTCAATCTATTCTACAGAGCAACCAGTCCGAGGGAGAGTACATCTTGGCAACCTCCCAGCAGGACCCCTGCATCCCTGGTCTCTAATTTGAGAGAAAATAAGATATAGGAGTTACTCTGCATAGGAACATTGGTGTGAGCGATGCTTGACACACTATTTAGAAAATTCTAGCTGGTTCAGCACTAGCCTGATTTCTATGGAAGAACAGAGTGAGAGCAAAACTGGTTTGGGGCATGGTTCAGAAAAAGACCTCTACCTCCCATCCAAATGTGCTTCAAAAAAATACAAATCTAGGGCCTCCCTGGTTGTGCAAGGGTTAAAGTCTCAGCACAATCATGCTACTACTGCTGTGGCCTGAGTTCATTCCTGGCCAGGGAGCTAACCCACACATGGCACAGAAAACCTCTGCTGTCCCTGGTGAATCTCTCTCTCTCTCTCTCTCACACACACACACACACACACACACACGCACACACACACATGCACACACACCCCACATACACCCCTCTGGCCTACACCCCAGTTCTTGTATGCATAAATGAATAAAAATAAATCTTAAAAAAAAATCTAGCAAAAGTGAAGATTTTAGAAAACAACTTAGCACCTGAAGTGGCAGCAGCTTCTGAGCCTTCTTCATTAACCTCTATGAAGGACTTGTGAATTGCTTTGGAAATGAAAATCTCTTTGTTATCTGCAAATGAAAGGGATAATAAGCATTTATTCAGTATCAGAGATAGGGAAGCACTTTGCCTCTAATTAAACAGATTTGAAAAATATAAGCAATATAAGATACTGATATAAAATGTAATATTAAAAGATTACATTTATGATTTAAAAGAACAACTGAAGGGCCTCCCCGGTGGCGCAGCGGTTGAGCGCTGGGTTGCGAGGCTGCCCACAGCCTCTGTAGCTCTGGTTTGATCCCCGGCCACCTAGGGTCCCACGTGGCGCACAGACCTCTCCTGCCGCCCGCTGCTCCCCTCAGCAGTGTACTTTGTCACTCTGCTTGTTCTACTCCCTGCTCTGGCTCTGGTGAATTCTCTCACCCTCCCGTGCCTCTGACTGTACCCAGTGCTTACACAAATAAATAAATAAATCTTTAAAAATTAATTAAATAAATAAAAGAACTGAGGCTGTCCTGATCTGTGCACATTTTATATTCTCTTGTTAATATCCTCAATGTTTATTTCTTATATTGCCAGAATAAGTTGAAACATGATTGTTTTCATAACAACTCCAACTTAGTTCATAACTCAAGATAAAAACATGTTACACATTGCACTCTGCTGTGAAATTTAAAAACACAAAATGAAAACCAGCAGAAATCCAGATATAACTGGAATAAGAAATTTTTAAAAATCTAATACTGAGATAATGAAATTATTCTTGGCAAAGGAAAATAAAATCAACTTCAAACCAATTTGTAGAAATGTAAGTATCGAAGAAGTTTCCATTTTGGTTAATTGGTTTATCTGAGGATTCATAAACATGCTTTACCCAAAAGTTAGAGAAAATAACCTATTTTCATTATTAAGAGTACTTTTTTCTTTTGAATTATCTATCTGTTGATGCTTAATTTTAAATTAATGGCTATTATAAGATGAATTATATTCTTTCAAAATTCACATGCTTAAGTCCTCATTCCCAAGATTTAGACTATGGCTGTATTTGGAGACTGAATCTTAAATTAAAACAAAGTTATCAGAAGAGGGCCTAATCCAATATAACCAGTATCCGTATAAGAAGAGTAAATTTGGACAGAGATAGAAAATAGGGAAGAGCATATGTGATGGTTAATTTTATCTGTCAACTTCACTGGGTTATGGTACACAAATACATGGTCAAGTATTATTCTGGATGTTTCTGATACTATGTTTTCTGGATGAGATTTTAAATTGGTGGACATTAAGTAAGGCAGAGTACTCTCTTGATGTGGGTGCGCCTCATCCAGTAAAGTGAAGGACTTAATAGATCATAGACTGACCTCTGAGCAAGATGCTGCTTTGTGACTGCCTTTGATTGGAATGGAAGTTCTTCCCTGTGTCTCCAACATGCCAGCCTAACCTGCAGATTTTAGATTCCAAAGTCTCCCCAGTAGAAATTGAAAAAGCTTATTTTCTTAAAATCTCTCTCTCTCTCTCTCTCTCTGTCTCTCTCTCTCTGTCTCTCTCTCTCTCTTTCCATCCTGTTGGTTCTGTTTCTCTGGATAATGCTGACTAATACAACATGTGAAGACATGGGGGAAGGTGCTTGACTTCAGATTTACAACCTCCAGAACTGTGAGAAAGTACAAAACTGCTGATTAAGTCACAGTATGGCAAACCTAACAAACTATACAATAGCTTTCAGTCTTGAGTTTTCAACTATTCCATAAGATTAAGCAAAAGAAACAAAAGTCACCCAGATACATAAAAGGCAAAATAGCACAAGGAAACAAGATACAGGATTACTCAAGTATGTACCTTTTCCCCCCCTCCCCCAATTTCAGGGGCTCTAATTAAACTTTAAGACAAAGAACTTGGGTTCTGTAAAAGCACATCTCACAGCAGAGCAAGACTTTGTAAGTAAATGAGTCCTGCCCAAAACGTAGGTTTTCCTTTCAAGCTTTCAAAAACACATAATTTTCTTATATGCAGGGAGGATGATATTCAACATTTTGGGTACATCTGTTTGTTACTCAGCACCTGCTAATTTTGAATGAGGCCCAAAACAACTAAGAGTGGCATCTCTGAATATACTTCTAATCAGGATATTACTTCCTCAGTTCATATAATTATAAGCACTGCATTATGAAAGAATTTCTCACATTTTATGACATTTTATACTACAATGCACTTGAACATAAGAAAAATAAAAGCAATAAAGTTTTTACATGAAACAATGAAGTATAATTAGCTCTCTCAAATCCATAATACTAGGTGCATTCTTCTTTTTAACAAAAAGAAAAATATGAATTATATTAAGTAACGGCAAATATATTTAGTCGGTAAAACAAACACATGAATTTTGAGACAGTAAAATATATCAGCTATTTAGTAGTATTAACTGGTATTGTATTATATTCAGATTCCATTGTCTATTTTCATCAGTCTGCCAGTTAAGGAAGGTTTATGTATGGAGAACCAAAATCATGAGTCTGAATGCAAAAGTGACAGAACCCAGTTCTTAAAGAATCTACATTGTTGCAACGCCCTCCTCAAGTATTCTGAGGGATGTTCTCAAAGACCAAATAATATTTCAGCCCTTTCAATTTGCACAGAGGAAACTGCCTCCTGTAGCTCTTGAACCCCATCTGCTAGCTATCCTGGGCAGCTGAAAGGAAGGAATCCCGTCCCTTCAACTCTTGAAGTCTGACCTCTGCCCCAAGTGTTCCCTCTTGGGTCATCTGGGCTTGCACACTCATTTTCTCACACATGTTGCTGGGAGGGATACTATAAGGTCATGTGGCATCAAGATCAGGGACACAAGGGTGCTGAGGGCTTTTCCCAGAGAGCTAGTTATTTCACAGATAATGAAACAGACAAACCTTTTAATAAGACTCATGAAGATGAGATTAACCTAAAAAGCAATATTAATGCCCCCAAAAAACTATCTAAAAGTACAAACGATAAATTTTTAGATCATAATAATATACTATGTATAGTTTTCTATGGATAAATGATAACCAATGTTATAAGGTATAATTAATTTATTTACTGTGAGTTGTGTCTACAAAACACAATTGCCATATGTGTGCCTATGTGACCCTCCCTTCACAAATAAGATACAGAATGTCCATCTCCTTCAAAAGATTCTTGTGCTTCTTTATCCAGATAACTTTGAAAATGAACAGATTTGTTATAAAGTAGGCAATTTTTTAGAAATGAATACATTATAGGATTCAATCAAGAATAAAAAGAATATTGTTATAATCCAGTAGCCATTAAAGAAATTGAATCAGTTAAGAAAAACCCCCCATATCCTCAAAATTAAAGACTCTAGATAATTTGTAGGTGATATTAACTGAACCTTCAAGGAAAAAAATAGAATTTTCTATTATAAAATATCTCTAGACTCCAGAAAATGAGTGAAGATACATGCGATCTTTACCTAAGTAGTCTTACCTTGCTATCAAATTGAACAGAGACAGTCTAACAAAATCATAAAGCAAGCTCACTTATTAACATGGAGATAAAAGTTTTTTAAAAGTCAAAAAATTAAACTTAGTGACAAAAAATATTTTTAAATGATTGTTAAGGGTTGTCTCAGTTTATCATAACACAGCAGTTTGAACTACTCTGTCTCTATTTCACTTTAAAGCTTCCTACAGGATGGATCTCATAAAAATACAAACCAATTTATGCCACTACCTTGCTCTAAATCCTCTGCCTGCTCTCCTGCCTGCTCCACCACCCACTTCTCCTGCAGTACCTACCAACAACTCAGTGTACACTGAGAAGTCCATGAGCTTGACTCCGCTTTCTTCATTAAATATTCTTCACTCCATACACTGTACTCCAGATTATTTGAACTACAGCAGTCTGAATGCACTACTCTGTATCACCTCTGTGTCTCTGCTTCTTCAGAAACTCCCTCCACCCTTGCTATACGGTAAGATGTCTAACCTACATTTAAGGCTCAACTTTGAGCCCTGTCTGGCCTATTCTGCACTCCTCTGACTCCTACCTCCCACTAAAGTAGAGCTGACTACTCCTTTCCACTGAAATCAGGATTTAATTTTATCGGTCTTTATAACGTTTCATATTTGCATTGATATCTGACTGTCAGTTTCCTTAAGGTAAAGATTGTGTAGCTCCTCATAGCAACCTTGGCTTCTGAAATAGAGTGGGCCTAATGACCAAACTACCCTATGGACAGGGAGTTTCCTTAGGTAATGTGTACTCTTCCAATATTTAATATAGTATACAACATAAATAGGAATTTAGTTATTATTGAATAAAATGGGCTATTTAATACTGTAAAACTTTGGGTGTAGTCATTCTTTGGGCACTAGGTCCACAATTCTTTCTTTTTTTCAAGATTTATTTATTTATGCATACAAGAACTGGGGTACAGGCCAGAGGTGCAGGGGGTGAGAGGATTCACCAGAGACAGAGCGGGGAACAGAACAGGCAGACTGACTGGAGTACACTGCTGAGGGGAGCAGTGGGCGAGACAGGAGAGGTCTGCTGCGCCATATGGGTAGCTCCCTGGCTGGCCAGGGATCAAACTTGTGCTGCAGAAGCTGCGGATAACTTCACAGTGCTGTGCTTAACCCCCTGTGCCACCAGGGAGGCCCTAGGTCCACAATTCTGATCACAATTCTGACTAAAGTGTTTATTTTAATAATAAATAAAACATAATAAATGAATTCAACATAGATGCTCTAGGAACAGCAACAGACATGAAAAGAATATAAAGACCACACATACACATAAAATGTTTTTAAATAAGTAGAAGAGCAAAGGGGATAGGATCCAAGAGACCAGTTCAAGGGTAGCAAAATAGAGATCAAATCCAGTGTTCTAGCTCTTGCAGAGTGATTAAGTGCCACACAATGGACAGCAAATATCTGCAGATGTAAATGAGATCTCATGACACTGAACCTTCAGAAAATACCACCCCTTTGAATATACAAGTAGGACAAAACCTAACAAATAAGAAATCACATCACCGGTACCGGGGGTTGGGGGGGGGGGAAGTGAAACTTTT